AAACTGCTTGAGATCTAGGAAAATTAAAATCAATTTCAATTCCACTTTTCTGATGTTGAACAAATCCATAAAATTTCTCCAAGCTTCTGTGTGTTCATCTTTCATAGAGAACTGATAGCAATTACTTAACACATAGGGTGATTAGAAGGATAAACACAAGTAAAAGCACCTTCTAAGCTGGAAAATGCTACACGTGGAGGAGTTAATAGCAACTGTTCTCTAGTTAACAAGCATATTGCTCTTGAGAACAAGCCTAGACTTTTCAATGCTGTGATTGGGGCATTTGAAAATGCATATGTATAGATTATTTTAAAAGTGTAACCATAAGCTGTGAAATATATACCCATAATTATAAAATATTATCAAAAAGTAATTGGAAATGACACTAACATGCACACCTACTAAGGGCTTTCTTATCATATCTGGCAATTAGTGGACTTAGAGACAATGCAACATAGAGATAATAGCATCATATTTTTCAATCCCCCACACATCTGTGATCCCATGGAAGAAGCTTAGTTCTAGAGCAGTGCTCTCTATTCTTCTGAGAACCAAATGAAAGTATTTTCCCTGGAAAATTGCCTTTAAGTGCAAATTCTTACCTTAAAGTCTGCTTATTTTTTTGCAAATAGCAGAGGAAAATGATAATTATTTCTCAGGGTATTAAGGGGACACTATTATCGAAATATTTAAAAGCACTTTGTAAATTATAAAGATTACTTGCTTCTATTATTATTTCTTTTTTTGAGAGTGACTCTTAGTGTTGACTTTACAGAATAATTTGGCTCAAAAGTTGAAGAGGCCTTTCACAGTTGCTTAAAATGCCAACCCAGTAAGAAATGGGTAATGCATCTGAAAAGACATTTCTCCAAAGAAGATACACAAGAGGCCAACAAGCACATGAAAAGATGCTTGACATTATTAGCCATTAAGGAAACACAAATCAAAACCATAAATGAGATACCACTACGGGCCACTGAAGTGAAAGGCCTCGTGTAAAATAGGACAGTTAAATAGTCAACCTTATGCTGATAACTGCCTATTTACATTTATATTTTGGATGACTTCTCTAACCAATCTTTGAATGTTGTTTTCAGCTTACATCTGCCACAAGGATTTATGCTCCAGATTTATTTAAGGGAGGGTTTTTGCTACAAAAGAGTAACCTCGCAGGGCGAACATTTTATACCTGCTTGCAGTTGTTCTTTTGAGCTATCAGGCAAATAAATACAAGAACCCTTAGACTTGTACACTCTAAATGTCTCAAAATTGCTATCTCTGTACCTCTTGGCCCTTTGCACAAGGTCTTTCTATAAACCCTGCACACTGAGCAAACACTGCCCAGTTGGGTGGTTTGCCCCACTGGAGTAATAATCACAGCATACACATACACACAAAACTTGCAAATAGGGTACAGAGTTTTATTTTAATGTCATTTATGAACAGATCCATCACCTATAAAATGGGAAAATTTCTCCAAATTGTTTTCTAAGTCATTCAGCATATTAAAATCCTTTTTTCAACTAGCAACCATAAAAATCAGAGCTTTGCTCTAGGAACTGTGAGAAGTTATATGGAAAGGTTCATAGAATATTACAAAACATACATATCCACATACCGATCCATATATAAACTGCTATCACATTCATACACATATGTTATCATGCACAAAGTTCAGTGAGGTATGAGGACTGTGGCACCACTTCCTTCTGAAATCCTTCCCCAAGTAGGAAGAAGTCTTTGTAATATTGCTACTTGCTTCAACACTATCATTTGGACACAGAAAACAAAGAAAGAGAGTTAGCTCAAAGACTATCAAATGGATTCACTACTTTATGATTTTTATTTTTTATTTTATTTATTTTTTTAAAGATTTATTTATTTATACAAGAACCAGGGTATAGGCCAGATGTGTAGGAGGGTGAGAGGATTCACCAGAGACAGAGCAAGGAACATAACAGGTCGATGAGCCGAAGTACACTGCTGAGGGGAGCAGCAGGTGAGACAGGAGAGGTCTGCCGCGCCATGTGGGTATCTCCCTGGGCAGCCGGGAATCAAACCTGCGCTGCTGAGGATGTGAACAGCTTCACAGTGCAGCGCTCAACCATCTGCGCCACCAGGGAGGCCCACTACTTTATGATTTTTATGACCAAAGCACAAAAATGGCAAACTAGCATTCCAACTGTCTCTATGACCAGCACCACCTCAGGCAGTGGGCAGCCCATCCAGCCCACACACCAACGAACATGTGAACACACAAACCATAGTCACATATGACTTATAAACAAACTCACACTTAAATAGAGAAGACACAACACCTATAAATGAAGAAAAAAGAAATATGATCTTGCAGAGAATGGCACTGCCCACCAATCACAAACACATCTACATTACTTAAACATGGGTTTGACACACAAGTGTGAGGCTGCCACTGGCTGGGACCAACCTGAACTAACTTCTAGGATCATCACTGGGACAAGCACTGTTTTCTCAATTTTTTTTTTTAATCGCAGCAACACTGGTTTACAATATTGTAAGTATAGGAAGTGTAGGGTCCCTCCCTTTAGGCACACCCACCACAGTGCACCCACCACCAAATCACCCATAGTCTCTTGACACCACACAGGCCCCCTGAAACTACAAGCTCCTCTTCTCAGTTGTCCCCACAGCTGCTCCTCTTCCTCAGGGGACAGGCAGCAGCATGCACAATGCCAGACCTTTCAGGTCTCAAGCAGCCACACATCTGCTTTCACAATCTTGGCGCCAGCCTGGGAGCTGGTGCCTGTTTCTGAGCCCTGCCCTAGAGCAGAAAGGCGGGCACATGCTTGACAAAGCAAGGGCCTGAAATGTAGGAGATTAAGTTCTCTTATATCTTTAGGAAGTTCCCTGTATCCAGAAAAGAGCCCAAAGGAAGCAAACAAAGCATTTGAAGTAGAGGTCTGAAGCTCTACCTGCATTAAGAGTTCAAAGGCAGCAAAGGAGATATTTGAACGTAGAGGGGGGCTAGGGGTTAGAGAGAGAAGCAAGGATAGACAGACATCAAGACTGACATTTCACTGGCATTCATATAAAGTCTATCGTGTTACAACCATTCATTCCTTTACATCTGGGCCTGGAGTGAGACACAAAAGCAAGGCCCTAACCTAGATAATTATCTACCATACCCATTTTAATCTAGTAAACGTTTAGCACTTGCATTCTGGCTACAAAGTCAAAATCATCCCATGGAGGACACTGTGAAATTAAAGAATGGAGTCAAATACAAGTGAATGCCCTACAAGTTGCAGCTGGAAACAAACAGCAGTCCCTGAGTCATCTAATCTTTGACTCTGGCTTCTCCACATCTCTAGAAAGGCCTAGAAGCCGCTGTGAGTGGTTTACAGACTACTCAATTCAGCATAATTGATACTTGCTTAAAGGGAAATGCGATCATCCTTACTATCGCTAACATCCCATTAAGACTAAAAGTTAATTAGGCTGTGTTCCATAAAGTCAATTTGAAGCATTTGTCTCAATAGCATTATTGTAATTATTCCTCATCAAAATGACTATCACCTCCTACTGCACGCCAGTGTCTTATGTAAACAACAGCAAAAATCCAACAACTCACATTCCATTCTCCACCTGAGTTATTTAAGTTATTTAAGTTTATGTTTATATAGAATTGAAAATAGGGAATCACAGACATTAACATGCATTAAAAAATGCAAAGGCAAGTTGAGGACATCTTGTTTTAAGTTTCCCAAGACCAAGAAAATATGAGCAAGCTAAATAACCTGGCTACACTTCTGTATTATAACAATTCCAGTAAAAGTCCAAAAGAAAAGCACCTACTAAAGTCAACCTATTACATAAAAGTGGGCCTCACAAGATGCTGACAGAGGAGCAAGGGACACAATGCACATGACTGCACCCTGGGACCTTCCACTACTACCCGTAACAATTTCCAACCACTCCTTAGAAGGTTCTGGATAGGGGTTGGGGACATGAAAGCAGCGGAGCCACCAGGAAATGCACTGACAACATAACTGGTGACAAACAACAAAGACGATGCCCTGGCAACTTTTCCCACAGATCCAGAATTTAAACATAGCAAACCAATGTCCTTAAATGAGTCTTTTAAAACATTACATTTAATAACAAAATTTAAATTTATTTTGTTAGGAAACAAAATAAATTCATAAATCCAGAAGAAGTGAGTCGTTTGTCCTATAAAACTACAAATCGTAGAGTTATTGACCTCTCATGACTTAATGCTAACACTGGAATTAAAACATTAAAAAAGTATGCTTCATAATGAAGAGGGAACAGTAATCATATTTTGTTACTACTTCCATCAGCATCATTGGTGGCCCAATTATATGATTATAATTAGGGAGGGAAAGAAAGGTAGGAGGGACTGGGCCAGAGAAAATGCACCCAGGAATTAGATACTCCCACAGTTCAACCCTGGATATGGACAGCAAGCGCCTCTCAAACATGGCTGCAGAGCAGAAGCACCTGGGAAGCTTTAAACATCCCACAGCGCAGGAGTCTAACCTCTCTACCCCCTCCATCAAATAAAATCTCTAAAAAGGAGACTTAAGCAACAATAGTTTTTAATTTACCTCCCCAGGTAATTCCAGACCCTGTGCCTTGTCTGTTAAAGAACTCAGGTGAAATGATTCTATGCTTCGATGCTGATGGTGAGCTCTCCATTTCTCAGGGGAAAACAAAATTAAATTAGTCAGCAGTAGTGGAACCAAATATAAGAGTTCCCCTTCTAATTCTGGCCCTCCTGACTTCTGAGCAAATCACTTGATTTCCTGGGACCTCAATTTGCATTTCTGTTAAACTCAAAGGGTTTCTAAGTCACAGAGTTCACTTAATCCTATGGTTTCTACATTCTAATAAAGAAATATTTTCAAATGGGATAGTTTGGTCAGGGTTAGCAAGTCTGAGTTAAGTCAGGATCCCAATTTTACTAATTTACTCTATATAATTTTAAATATTAGACCCACCAGTAAAAACTGAGTGAATTCCGCATATGTCAGGTGTCTTTTTCTTTCTTTTCCAAAATGTAGTTGCACAAATTCTGAATCCCAGTTAAATGGAATATGCTGGTGAATTGTGGTCTGTCCAAAAACTTGCTTAACATCCTCTGGAAAGAGAAAAGAAAGGTTGATTAAAACAAAACAAGCTGGTTTCCTCCTTATAAAATCTATTATTTTTATTTTTTTTTTAGAGGCATGTTTTATTTATTTGTTTGTTTGTTTGTACATGCACTGGGTATAGTCAGAAGCAGCGCGGGAGGGTGAGAGAATTCACCAGAGCCAGAGCTGGGAGCAGAGCAGGCAGAAGGACCGAAATACACTGCTGAGGGGAGCAGCGGGCGGCAGGAGAGGTCTGCGCTCCATGTGGGACCCTCCTCCAGTGGCCGGGGAGCAGCCGGGGATGGAACCAGCGCCTCAGAGGCCGCGGGTAGTTTCGCAACCCAGCGCTCAACGGCTGTGCCAGCCACCGGGGAGGCCCATAAAATCTATTATTAAAGGAACATTGCTACCTTATTAGGAAATGCAACTCAACTTGAAAAACCCACACAGATTATAAGATCGTGATAGAAATAAAATTCAGAATCCTCATGGAATCAGTCAAGAAATAAAAATTGCTAATTCCACCAAACAAAATAAAGAGGTGCAAAAAGGCCTTAAAGTAGGAAAACAAACTAAAGCAATAAGCTAAATCCAATATCACCAACTCATTTGTTTTGTTTCAACATACATTCTTTTCTAGGCATAGGGGATATAACTGAATCTTTAGTGGCAGGAAAGACACAAAGAAACACATATAGCACATTACAGCTCTTAAATATAGTCCTTTATCAAGTTAGCAGAAAGTTTTTAAGGATTTTGCAATCAGATGACTAAAACCTGAAGCGCATATTCAACATCACTAAGACTCTGTTTGAGCTTTAAACAATCCTGTTGTTAATCAAATCACACTTGCAAATGAAGGTGAAGGTTCCTGTATTCCTCCTTCCTCACTTTGGAAGACATTGTAGTATCACCTCAGGTCAATAACCTTCTCTGCTTAGGAGGCACAAGTAGTTTTCTCACTTAACATCTGATTGGTTAGGATTTCTCCATGCCTGTAAGTCACTGAGAGGTATGACTATATAGCTGGAAAATCAGAAAATAAAAGCCAATTTTCAAACTCTGCTCTGTACTTTGGCTCCCATGGGAAATTCCTTGAGTTTTACCACAAGGCTCCAGAAGTTAACCATAAGGCTGCCATAGCACTAAACCCTTGCCATTCCGTCATCTTTCTAAACCAAACATGTAGTCCTGGAGAGGAAAGAGGAGACACAAAAAGTTCTAGTCTTTTGGTTACTTACTTGGTTCATTTAACTATACACACACACACAGAGACACACATACATACATACATATATGTGTGTCTGTGTGTGTGTGTATATATATATATATATATATATATATAATAAAACTGAAATAACTGATTAGCTGAGGGTTTCCAGTCAAGCACCATTTGACAGATTTATCATTAACTTAAAAAGAGTTCAAAGGTATCTCCTAGTCTAAAACACAAGGTCTTAAAATCTCAGCACTAGGTGGTCATCTGGACACAGACATAAAATAGGCTAGCACTAAAATATGAAAAAAAAAGCACTAGATACGCATTTGGGGTATTTAAAGTCTATTTTTCTTACTTTAGCCTTTCTTCTTGGAATTGAAAACAAATTGAAATGCTTATCTCTTAAAGTAAAGTGTAAGTATTGCTATTTCAGTCCGTGCCAAACAATCCATGTTTGGAAGGTCAATCAAATAATGGTGAATTATTTAAAGCAAGACTTGACCAAATAAGCACAAGAATCCTTTCTGTGTGGGACTTTGCCTTCTCCGCAAAACGTTTCCAGTCTAAAAGCCTGCTGTCTTTTTTTTTTTTTAAATCATTACAGATTAACAGACAATTATAAAATGACAATTGTTTCTTTGTTAAAGAAAAGCTCAAAAAGCCAGCATATTTCTCCTAAAGTTAATAAACTTTCCAGCTTATGGAACATGACTGTAGAGGAAAAGGTTGGGATTTTTAGGAAATGGGGGACAGAGAACATGATCTTGTGTAGACAAAGTAGCATGTCCTCGAACAACAGAATATTATTCATCAATAAAAGGGACTATAGCTGTTACATGCTACAATGTAGATGAACCTTGAAAATTATGCTAAGAAGTCGGTATATTATATGATTCCATTTACATGAAATGTCCAGAACAGGCAAACAACAGCAGACAGCAGATTAGTGATCGCCTAGATCTGATGGGATTGCTAGAAAATGTTCAAAAATTGAATGTGGCAATGACTACACAAATCTTAATATACTAAAAATTACAGAATTATCTACTTGAAATGAGTGACATACAGTTCAGTCAAGCTTGTTTTTTCAAACCTGGTACTGTCAGATCAGTCTCTTCCCAATGGGTGTCATTAGCCAAATTACCTACCCTGACTCAACTCTCTCAATCTGTAAGATGGGAATAAAACATCATCCTAAAGGCTCTGGATCTAAGTGTGCCTACTGCAATGTTCTAAACAAAGTACGTGACCATTAAAATGGCAAAGCTCCAAAATCAAAAGCTTTAGTTATAATGAAAATTGCTATCTGGGTACCAAATATTTACAAATGATACAAAGAAAAATCAGGCACAGTGTGATTTGGAAATATCATATTTATACATTTCTCAAAAAGCAATAATTTTCCTCAAATATTTAAAATCCATCCTTCTCTTAGCTCATAGACCAAAATTTTGAATGAAAAGTGATCAAAAACTAAGTAATTTTCCATTATGTTTCTGAAAGTATGAAATTAAGAAAGATTAAGAACCTCCACTCTTTACTTTGAAGATCTTTCAGATACTAGAAATATTTAATTGGCAAATTACTTGCACATGCCATTAAGTGGTTAGACTGAATTTGTTTTTACAAATTCTATGGGCTCTTATTCCTTAACCTCCACTGCACTATAATCTGAAATCATCAAGGTCTTCACTTATGCAAATTTTAACTTTCTAGGTTTTTGTTTCCATACAGAATAACTAAATTAATGCACTTTAATTTCTAAAAGATTCACTTTTTGAAGCTGCAAATCAAAGAAAACAAGTTTCCCATTAAAATAAAAAAGGTTCATCAAGCTGTATTATTTCAAACACTGAACCATAATATCTCTCACAGATCTTAAAAATTTCATTAATACAATAAACACAAAAAGGATGTTTCTGTTAAACCCAAAAGTATATCCCTCTTGGATGCAAAAAGACACTCACTATATAGCCGCACTTATTTCTGACCAGCTTCACTGGGGTGCTTCTTTCCAATATGTGCTAAATCCTCATAGAAAGTTGCGGTTTTGCTCTGAGGGAAAAAATATTCTATCCTGCTGATATGGTTAACAACAGCTTATATGGCCATCGTCTTTTAAGCAGGGAGCAAAAGACAAATTGTTGAATTCGTAAGTTAAATAACATAATAGACTAAGTGGATGCAGACCTATCTCTACTGCCACAAGCTCCAACATCAAGGTTGCCATTTCAAACCCTTTTGACAAGTGCCTTTTTATATTAATCACAGTTAAGGGTCTGAAGAGGAAAGAAGTATTCTGGCTACAATTCAGATTCGCTCAAGGAAGTTCTAGGGGGAAAATGGATGCCATTAAAACACAGTAAGTACAGAGCAAGTACTTCACACATGAAGCCCTTCTCATTAAAACTGAGTTCTTTATAAGTGCCTGTAAACTTGTTTGTATTACTATTCTGAACATGTAGGTACAGTGGTGTTAAATATCTTTCAAAAAAATAAAGCATACATAGCCACGCGTGCACTGGGCAAGTAGAGCTGAATATTATTTTAAAATCATATATGCTATTGGCTATGTAAAATTAAGACTTTGGGGTGGAACTACTGTGATATGAGTTCATGTGGCATCCTAGAAATAAACACTGTCCTTCCAGAAGCACCAGAAGACACGGTGGTGGTTCCTATGAAACCCAGCACCTCCCGTCTCTGGACCTCCTTCTACATCTACCAAAGAAAGCAATAAATTACACTAGGCATTGTTCAACTGCACTGCCAACCATATTCACTTGCTCAAAATATTCCCAAGCCCCACACCCAAAGATTTTGATTCAGCAGGTTTGAGATGGAGCTAGAGAGTCCACAGTTGTAATGAACAACTCCCCCCTCCCCCAATCAGAAACCATCATCTGCCTTATTCATAAGAATTGTTCCTATTTTAAAATCTGATGGCTCTATAAGTTCTCAAGATTAACACACTACTTAAGTCATCAAGGTAAATGTTGGTTAACTACAACAAAAAGGTTAAAGGCCAGCAGACATTTAGCCCTAGATATTAATCTTCTATCATATGCATTAGCTAAACCAACAGCAAGAGAGGCCACTGAGGTGTTTTCAATCTATCTCCTAGAAAAATTTATTTGCAATTGAATAGAATAAATCATTAGCAGCCTTTCATAATTGTGAAAAGTAAGTCAGCTAAAATGGTGAGTGGAGTCATACCCCAGACTGTGGTCACTTTCCAGATGTATAAGCTTGCTTTAATCATCTGGTGTGTTAATTATTGTTAACTTTCATCACTACTAGAAAAGAACACAATCAAAAAACTCCAACTCTTTGAAATTCTAAAAGCAGTAGAAAGAACCCTAATTCATTCTTTAAATGCAAGTGTAACATCTATATTGTTTAAAAAACCAATTTCCTAAGCTAGTTTCCTTAGACGGATGTTATCAAAAATAATTTTCTTGCAAAAGCATTAACATACATTTAACCCTACTTAAATGCTTCAAGAGCAGATGTACTACAAATGCACACCCACAGTGATCCCATATTAGTATAAAACTGTTTTATTTCAATTAAAATGTCTAACTATCCACCCCCAACATATACCTAAACTGTAATTTTCTCTGAGAACTTCCAATATGTTCTTGATTTTGTTTCCTTTATCAACCTATCAGAGCAAAAACTGCCTTGCAACTGTTGGAAGAAATCAGTCATTAGCAGCAAGATTACAGCAAATTTTCCAATTTAGAAAAACTGTATTTTTATCTCTCTCTCATACTGAAAGAATAATGG